AAGAAGAACATAAACAAATAAAGACTCAAACTCAAGAAATTAATTGTATTGGTCAGGTTGAACGGATCAAGCATAGCAAATTTATATTTGACCCAATTATTATATACTACGAGCATGTTTAGCAAATGATCAAATTGGGTTATTTTTGTTTTTTGATGGAATATAATTTATGAAATTTAACCAATAAAAGACAATTATACTTTTCATGATTTCACAAAATCCCAAGCCCCATTTATTAACTTCCCATCAACTACATTAAAACTTCATGCGTGTCTTTTTTTGACCAATTTTTATTATTAAAATATATATAATCCATGCGTTTCCCAAACATGTAAAACTTGAGAACAATTATTCACCAAAATTATCAAACACTCTGAATTATAAACAAAGTGGATTATTATCTAGAGTTTCCAAACTTGCTCTCACATTGATTGTTCCAATTTAATCCGAGCATGTTATATATATATAGAGAGAGAGAAAATAGATATGCTTGGTACCAAGCACAAAAAGTTGTGCTTGGTAGTGAGGTGACATAATCTCCTTCACTTATTCAAATGGTTGCATATCCCCATGCACTCCTCAACCCATGTAAATGTATCCCCCATTTGAATGAGTGGAGGGGATTGTGCCACCTCACTACCAAGCATAAAATTTGTGCTTAGTACCAAACATACACATATATATATATATATATATATATATATATATATATATATAATATATATATATATATATATATATATATATATATATATTATATATATATATATATATATATATATATATAATATAATATATATATTATGTGCTTATACCAAACATACATGTTGTGCTTAGTACCACAAACATACATATATCATATATATATATATAATATATATATCATATATATATATATATATATATAATATATATATATAGAGAGTAGAGAGAGAGAGAGAGAGAGCAATACTCCTATCACTTAAGTTGATGTCCACCACAACTTTGTACGCATATATTTATTAATATATAAACCATATTTTTATATAAATACAAGGATCCCTAAGCAATATGAGTGGTTAAAACTTTGGTGGACAACACTATTCACTATCCACTTAAGTTGACACACAAGTTTTCACCTATATATATATATATATATATATATATATATATATATATATAATATATATTAATATATATATATATATATATTGAAAAATAATTTAAGGACCCAAAATATGGGACCAAGGAAGAGGACAGGTGATGCTGTCCACTCCCTATTGCATAATGAGTTGGCATGACAATTCATTATGCAATAGTGAGGGACACCTTACTTGTCCCCTCTATTGGTCACATATTTTTGGGTCCCCGTTAGCAGCACTCATATATATATATATATATACTATATATATATATATATATATATATATATATATATTATATATATAATATATATATATATATATTATATATATATATATATAAATATATATAATCATATAAAATTTTGACAACACCAATCGATTATAATCAAAAGTATCAGCTATTTGGATCATAACCCATTGATGAAATGTAATCTAAGCATATTATCATAATCCAAAATTCCTGAACACGCCCTGGGTGCTAAGGCTGTCCATCCGGGTCGGAAAACCGAGCCCGGGCCGGGTAAAACCGAAGCTCGGACCTGTGCCCCTTTTTTTGGTTTTTTTTTAAATTTTAAAAAATCTCCATAAATCATAAAATATACATAAAAATTACAGAAAATGATATAAAATTTTTTAATAACTTGAAATGACATAAATTACAAGTACAAAAAATTATAAAAATGAAAGATACTAAAAATAACTTCTTTATTAATAATCAATAAATTCTTTACAAGTATAATTTATTTTGGAATTCGTCGCATCACAATAGATGAGTACATCCTAACTAGGTTGGCACCTACTCACCTATATCATTATTATTTGTAACTTTTTTTTTGAAATAATTCATTATAAATTTAAAGCTAAGAAATAAAAATTACAATTTGATGAATATTATCTAATCTTTATTTAAAGCTAAGAAATAAAAATTACAATTTGATGAATATTATCTAATCTTTATACCTATCTGCTAGTCCCAACTCTTTAAATTTATCTTCAAATTTGATGAATATTATCTAATCTTTATACCTATCTGCTAGTCCCAACTCTTTAAATTTATCTTCAATTATAGTCATCCGATCGATGTCTTGCGTTTGCTTCTCGTACCTCCACCAATCTTGTAAGCACATCACCGCTTGTACAATATACGGATCTAAGCATGTCATGTGGTCATCCATCAAATGTCCTACTGTGCTAAAGGCGGATTCCGAAGCTACCGTCGAAACGTGCACTGTTAGTAAGTTACGAATCATGATAAAAAGTATAGGATATGAAACTGATCCATATACTCTCCACCATTGTAAAATATCTAAACTATTTTCTTGACATTTAACTAAGGAAGCAGATAAATATTTATCTATTTCAAAAACCTTTAATGCTGATCGAAGTCCAGATCCACCAGTTAGTTCAACTACCATTGCATACCTATCAAAATTTATGCTTTTACCTCGATCTGTGCTCGAAGGCGTCGAAGCTGTAGACTATTGTGCAGCTACACCATGTCTAGCTGCATACTCATCATATAATGTTTAAAATAATTTCTAATAGCTAAATGATAAGAAGTAGCAGTAGGGGTGGATCCATCATCTAAGTCAATAATTTGTCCACCATACAATGATCGTAACAAACTTCGAAGGCCAATATCCTTTAAACATGGATCAATAAGAACCCACAAACCAAAAATATGAGGAATAGACCTAAAATACTTATTAAATTTGCTCTTCATTTGAAAAATTATAGCTCCAAAAGTATCATCCATACGATATTTGGCAAAATTTTTTGAATATTTAAAATTTGTAAAACAGCTAAAGTAATTGTTGGATAATAACAACCACATAATAATATTGTAGCATCATAAAAAACTTGTAATATTTTATTTAAATTATATATAATTATCCATTCATCTTCAGTTATTCTATAAGTACTACCAAAGCTATAACTAGAAGCATAAAAATTTATAAAATTATTTATAGTTTCTTTATGTTTTATTGCTACACTTAATATTGCATAGGTGGAATTCCACATATGACCAACATCTTTTGGAATTAGTCTGGACTTATATTTTTTTTTCTTTTACAACATTGTTTTTATCTTTTAATTCTTATTTTAGAAACATTATGCATATTAGCAACTGTTCTAACTTTTTTTATCATGAGTTTAATTTCAGAAAATGCACTTTGAACAATTAAATTTAAAATATGACAGATACATCTAACATGAAAAAGTTTACCATGACATGGCAATGACAGAGTTGTTTTGATAAATCAACAGCTACATTGTTATTACTTGCATTATCTAGTGAAAGAGAAAATATTCTTTGATCAGTTTTTAGTTTCATAAGTTTTTTAATTATTAAATTTGTAATATTAATACCATTATGTGACTCTTCAATTGTAATAAAAGAAACAAATCTTTTAAATATTTGCTAATTTTTATCAATCTAGTGTGCTGTAATACATAAATAACCAGTTTACACTCTAGATGTTCAAATATCAGAAGTTAAAGAAAATTTACAGTTTAAATTTTTAAAATAAAAAAATATTTTTTCTTGTTCCTCCTAATAATATTTTAAAATATCACGTTGACAGGTTTGACGAGAAAATTTTATAAATGCGGGATAAAAATCATCTCTAAATAAATCTTCAAATTCATCATCTTCTACTAATTTAAAAGGAATGTTTTTAAGAACGATAAACCTGTTTACGCATTTTCTGGCTCGGGCAGCGTCATAATTCTAACTACCGAGACTACCAGAAGAAGAGGATTGGGAAATCATAGATTGTCAGATATCACATTAAGGATTCTAGCCTTTGTTGTGTTTTTCTATATGGCGTTTGAGGTGGTTGGTGCCGCTCTTATGATGAGCTTGGAAAGTCCGGCGCAAAACGCACATTTAGCCTTCTGGGTGATGATCCTACCGTGTTCATCCTTGGTGACGTCTATCTTATTAAAAAAATTCCACACATTGAATCTCAGCCTTTTAGGAGCTCTTGGTGCAGATTCATCGCTACCAGATTCAGGATTAATATCGATAGGGAGAGTAGTTGTAGGAGGACTCGTTTCTGGATCGGTAGGAGATATGTTTTTCTCTTCATAATCAGATCCATAAACCATTTGATGGAAGTATTAGAAAATATAAGAGAGTATTAGAGAGAAGTAATGAGTTTTGGTGTGAGGAGAAAAAGTAAAAACCCCACTTTATTTATAGAGGCAGACTCCTAGGCAAATGACCAAAAAATCCTCATATTCTAGCCATTTTGATCGTTTTTAGGGGCAAAACGGTCAAAACGCACGTTTTGACCGTTATGGCCGGGCCGGGCCGGGCTGCCCGCGCCCGCGTCAATTCTACCTAACGGTCATCAGAGGTGACCGTTGGTGTCGGGCCGGCCGGGCTCGACCGTCCGGCCCGACCCGACCCGACATTTTCCAGCAACGGTCACTTCTGGTGACTGTTGTAGCCGGGTCCGGGTCGAGCTCGGGCCGCCCGGCCCGGTTTTGTGCCCCGGCCGGCACTGTTCCGAGCCGGGCCCGGGTCCGGACCGGTCGCGTTTTCGCGGATCCGAACCCGGGTCCGGGTGTTCGGGCAAAACTCAGGCCGGGCCTGGTTCCGAGCCCGGACCACGGGCTTTTTGGACAGGCCTAAGGTGCCTCGAATTATCGGATTTAAACTTGTTCCCACGGTACTCGACCCAAAACCCAACAAGAAAACAACCCGTTTACCGCCCCTAGGCAACCATTAATGAACACTGCGGTAAGCTCACCGACAGGTATGGAAACAAAAGTTAGTACGTTGTTTTGTATATTTTTTTTCCTCTCTCTCTCCTCCCCATCGCAAATGGGGATCCTTATCCTCTCTCAAACACCTATAAATACACAGTCTCAACTCTTCTGCCAACTTCATTTTATTTCTCTCAGAAACAAAATTTGCACAAAATCTGAATTGGCTTATTATTTCATTTTAGAGAGAGAGAGAGAGAGAGAGAGAGAGAGAGAGATTGAAGATGTTGGCAATATTTCACAAGACGTTTGCGCGCCCCCCTCAGGAACTGAACAGTCCAGACTCAGGAGGGATGAGGAGATCAAAGAACCCTGAAGAGATACTGAGGGATTTTCATTCAGTTCATAGCGGCGACTCTTTCTCTGCTAATTTCAGTGGTGGGGCTGTTCTTGCTTCTGTTGGTCACGATGGGAAGACCGTCTCCCTTCCTCAGAGGTATCGCTAATTATTTGCTTAATTAATACATGTGTGGAGTCATCTATTATATATTTAAGTCTTATTAATTTTGATTATTTGTTTTTATACACACAAACAACTCCTCAAAACTAAACTAGGCAAATATTGGCCGAGTTTTTTGAAGGCTATAAAATTAGCCTCTTGAACTGGTTTTGTTTTGGACCGGCTTCTTTATTCCAAAACATAAGTGCTTTAGTTTAAAAATTGCCAAGAACACCCTTACTTATGGGACGTGGAGGGAAAAAAAAGTTGAAAAATTAAAGACGTACGTATTTGGGGGGGTAGACACTTATTAGATAAATTTGATTTCTGATTTAGCCATGTAAAGGCAGAAGAGACGATCGAAACTGTTTATTATTCGGTAAATAAATAATTGTGATTTATTTTGAGTTAGGAAATTAAATGCTTTTAATTAGGGGGAGTAAAAAAAGTTGCAAAGTGTCATTTAAAACAGATATCTAGGATTCGTCTCAATATTCAACTCTTGTTGGTTAACTATATATTAGCTTATCAGCAAAAAAAATTTAAGAAATTGTCTTTTGGTATATAGGAATGATTAAGACATCCAGTTGTTGTAAACCGTAGAAGAGATCATGTTACAAAATTTTGTAGTATTCTAGTAATGAAACTTATCATCTTGTATAAATTTCAAATTTGTTATCCGTCAAGTTTGCTTAATTTATTCTCAGATATTGCAATTTAGATTTATATCCTTCTAAGTTTAAAACATGGCATTAAGAACTGTGATGCCTTGCGTTCTTTTAATTAAAAAAAAAGGATAGAAAATACATGTTATGACAAACTCCCCAGGATAAGCTAATATCAATCACACGAGAGCACGAAAAATATCAAGAACACACGAACACAAAGATATACGTGGTTCGGCTTGTAGCCTACGTCCACGGGCGAAGGAGGAGAAAAACTTTATTAATTGTGAGGAATACAAAGTGGAATATCTCAGTCACTCAATTCTAAATCACACCCCAGAAAGCACTTAAATCTCTCTAACAATCTCTAACACCTGTAGAGAGAGAATCTGTTGCTTCAGCCTGCAAAGCCCTTCTCAATGCTTGTTGTCGGGTGGATCAACTGACTGCAGCCTTAATAAAGAACCATCCATTCTTTCACTTAATTAATGCTGCGACCTTAAGTTGGGTGGATCAGAAACAATCTCTCTTAGCAGAAGGAACACAAAAGAGAGCCAATACCAAAACCAAATTACTTCACACACCTTCACAAACAACCTGTTTTCATCTCGTCATGCGGCAAGCAACCTTAATTGTTTTCTTGATGTACGTTGCTGCCATCTAGAAGCTCACGGGTGTTCTCACCAAAGATGCTTCGACCTCTATCCTCGCTATTTATAGATGAAGGATATGTAACATGATAGGATCAATCATCTTATCCTTAACAATCCCCAGCTAACTGAATGTCCTAATAATATAAGAATTTTATTCTTAACCAACAACTAGGAATTCAATCCCTTAGCAAACATAACCAGCGTGAGTCAAATGCCGAGCCGAGTTCGAGATGCATATTTGATTATTTGAGGCACAACATAACAATACATATAAATCATGGTATCAAAGCTAAAATAGGTCTTTGGATCTCCTTGTCAAATTTAACCAGACTATATGCATATAAGCCATTTACAACTGCTTATTTGCATACACTCCTGGTGCAGGTTATTCTGTAGCTTCGATGAGATATACTGCATGTTTGTAGGAAACCTTAACAATTTGAGCTCCCTCATAAGGGAATATGGCCTCTGCAAGTCTACAAATGATGCTCTCCTTGTGATCGAGGCTTATCGCACTTTACGTGATCGTGGGCCCTACCCTGCCGACCAAGTTGTCAAGGATCTCAGCGGCCCCTTCGCGTTTGTCCTCTATGACAACAAGGCCGGCATCATATTCGCTGCATTGGTAAATTGCAAATTTCGCTTTCTAGGAACTTTTAGAAAGCTGGTTAACTTTGTTTACATGCAGTATCTGCATTTTGGATATTATTGATGATAGTCCGTTCGACGCATGTATGCTATTATTGATTGAATGTGTGATGGTTTTGATTGATTTCGTGAGTATCATGTTTTGTTGCAGAGTGCATGTATGCTATTATTGATTGAATGTGTGATGGTTTTGCTTGATTTCGTGAGTATCATGTTTTGTTGCAGAGTTCTGATGGAGCAATACCTTTGTATTGGGGTATTGCGGCGGATGGATCGGTGGTGATTTCTGATGATAAGGAGGTTATTAAGGGAGGCTGTGGCAAGTCTTTTGCCCCTTTCCCTGCTGGTGAGTGCACTTTTCGTAGGATTTGTCAAATTTGATTTGGATTTCTTAACTATAAAAATAAAATAAAATAAAATAAAATAAAATAACAGTTGGGGGAGCACTAGTTTTATTATATTTGTTTTTCTTGTACCGAATGGTTACGATTTATTTCAAAATTTTAGCACTTACCATAACTTGTCGCTTTTGAGTCAGGAAATATCGCACTTGGCACTAGTTATGATTAAAACTAAGGGTTGTCTTTGAATCTTTTTGATAATGGAGAGGATTCAAATCTGTGGAGAGCCGATCTCTAAAATTCACAACCTTCAATTATATTTAGATGCTTGGTTCATTATCATATCTTGATGCGTATTCATTCCAATTTTTCACTCAAGATGAATTAGAAACGATAATCAAATAATAAACGGTTAAGATCAGGGGTACCAACACTCACTTTGGCAAGTTGCGTAAAAACTGAAACCTTACGAGCCAATTTTCCTGTCTTTGTCTACAGGGTGTATGTTCCATAGTGAAGGGGGGCTGAGGAGCTTTGAGCACCCGATGAACAAGTTAAAAGCAATGCCAAGGGTTGACAGCGAGGGAGTTATGTGCGGCGCCACATTCAGGGTCGACAAGTATACGAGGATCAACAGCATGCCGAGGGTCGGAAGCGCTGCAGACTGGACTGAATGGGATGAGTCCTGCCAGTAGATGATGTATATCAGCCTTTGCCAGCACTTTGCTTATGCAAATAATCTTTCAGTTGGTTCAACATGCAATGCTTAACGGTTACTTTTGGGATTCTGTGTTTTCTGTGTGATAGCCGGACTGCTTCTTGAGTGAATAACATCAGAATTGTTGTATATATAACAGTGGTCGAGATTTTGCCTTCATCTCTACGAGTGTTTTGCCTCTTGTTGGTGTTTTCTTCCTTGTTTGTGGGTAATATGTTGTTTCCCTTTGCAATCTATGGTCCCTTGAAGGTGAATTGTCTAAATGCAGTTATATTTGTGAGCTGTTTTGGAAATGGATTCATGGGTTTTGGTTGCTTATGGATGAGAACTTTGTCCGTTGGACTGTGATTTTTTGATTTAGCTCATGTCGTCTTAAGGCAAAAAATAGAAGCTCGGAGGTTTTACATGGATATGTCATTCTTATTTTCAGTAAATATCAGAAACCCCCCCCCCCCCCC